GAACTCCGTACTGAAGACACATCCAAGAAATTGTTACAGTATAGTTTTTCAAAACAAACACACAAACAAATAAGGAATTGCTATTACTACTTCTCTGCCACAGTGGTTCATAAAGGCAATTGTTAGATTTTTATCCTGCTTTTCCTCGAGGAGCTCAAGTTAGCATGCAGAGAATTCCCTCCTGCAGTTTTTTCCCCAGAACAACTCTGTGCGGTAGGTTGCATGAGAGAGAGGAACTGGCTCAGAGGCACCCAGCAAGCTTTCATGGCTGGGATAGAAGTGAACCTGGATCTCCCCAGTGCTAGTACCACACTTTCTCCATGCACCACACACTCTTTAGCACCAAGTAGACTCCTCCTTCACTATTACAAACTGCAAATGTTGAGCTTCAAACCACATTCAGGCATTTTCATCTCTTATTGTTGTTTTGCAGAGTTTAACTAAGGAATGAATAAAAATGTCTACTTGGTGGCATTTTTCATGTTCATAAGTGAAATACCAGCATGCTGTAGATTCTGATTGCAAATACACAGATACTGAGCTAAACTGAGGATTTTAAATCCTGTGTTGTTATATAGCTGACTAACACGCTGGGAGGGAGACATCTAGTGGCCAATGATAGCACCACATTGGTACATTTTAAATTGAAAATAATCAACTGTTTTGAACTCTGGTAGCAGGTAGACTATGGACAGGCTCGGATGGGTCATTTGCAGCTTGAGTCACTTGTGACTCAGTTCAAGGGGCACTGGGAAGGGACGCTCCATCAAATGTGCAGAGCATGACTCATGACTTTCATCAATGCAAACCTTTAACAGCCATTGATACCGTCTTGACTAAAGACAGGTGGCCAGGTAGAGCCATCGTGCATCTGCTTTGAAGAGTGCATCTAGCAAACTAGGTCAGTATGGGCTGAATGGCATGTCTGGTTTTGAAAACTATCCACAAAGGGTGCACACATACAATTCTCCATCTTCTCAGAAGATTCAACAGTTTTAGTGGTGATGGGCAGAGGGGTGGAGGAACTGCTTATGAAATTTGCTGGTGATGCAAAACTGGGTGGTGCCTAGCTAATATTCTAGAAAAAAGAAACACAAATACGATCTTATTGTAATGGAAAAGTGGGCTGAAAATAACAGTGAAATTTCACAGAGACCTGTATGAAGTTCTTTATTTAGGAAAAATAAATAAGATGAAAGTTACAAAATGGCAATACTTGGCTTGGCAATAGTACTTGGGAAACAGATCTTGGAATAACAATTGATTGCAAGCTTAATATGTTTCAGCAGTGTCATGTGGTTGCAAAAAAAGGGAAAAAGCAAATGCAGTTTTGGCCTGTGTCATCAGAAACATAATTTCCAGATCATGGAAAGACATAACTCCATCCTCTTCTGGATTGGTCATATCTACCTCAAGCCTTGTTCCACTTCAGGCAACCTTACCTTAATCCTACGAAGTGAGATGAAGGAAGCTGGGTGTACTTAGCCTTGAGAAAGCTGAAGGGGGATATAATAGCAGTCAGGCACCTGCAGCGTTGTCACAAACAAAGCCATAATTTAAAGAATGGAATCCTAGTGTTGGAAGGGACCCTGGAGCCAAGGCAACTGGACTGCTTTTCTTTTGGGTTGATACATTTTGCTGCTTATCCAAGCAGCTGCTTGGATAAGCAGCAAAATGTATCAGACCAAAAGAAAAGAAGTCCAGTTGCCATGACTCAACCTCCAGACAATTCCACTTGGATGACTGAGAATCCTCATCAACAAGGGACCCTGGAGGTTTTCTAGTTTAACCCCCTGCCCAGTGCAGGAATCCTCAGACCATTCTGGACAAAGGGCTGTCCAGTCTTTTCCTGAAAAACTCCAGTGATGGAATTCCCATGACTCCAGGAGGCTCTTCCACTGCTTCGTGGCTCTCGCAGTCTGGACAGTCCTCCTTAATTCAAGTTTGGGTCTCTCACAGTAAAGCTTCCACCTACTGGTCCTGGTCTTACCCTCAGGTGCTCAGGAGAATAAATCTACTCCCTCTTCCCTGTGATATCCCTTCCTTCATGTATGGGAAGACTGCTACCCTGTCACCCCTCTGCCTGAACAGACCTAGTTCCTTTAACTGCTGTTTGTAGGACGTAGCTTCCAGGCCCCTCACCATCTTTGCTGCTCTTCTCTGCGCTCTTTTTTGTACTGTATTAAATTAATAGTCTTAAGTTAAAGAAGGAAGGTTCCAACTGAATGTAAGGAAAGTCTTCCTAACAGTAAGAGTGGTTAGGCAATGGAGCCAGTAAGATAGGGAGGTGACGAATTTCCCTTTGCTGCACAGCAGTCCATCAGGGATGCATAAGATTAGACAGATGCTTTGACCCAGTAGTCTAAATGCTGCTTCCAACTCAACAGGTTGATGCTCCTAACTGCAAGGACAGCCATGCCTTGCAAGCTGGGAGTGAGCAAAAACCCTTCTGCGTGCTTGTTTGCTTTCCCTGCCTCCTTGCAGGGAGGAACCCAAATTCCACCTGCCCAGTGTGAAAGAAGATACCTTCCATTCATGATGAATGGATGTCTTGGCTTTAAATTATTGCTTGAGCTGCTCTTGGGTGTCTGGCTGTTGCTCTGAAGGAGTTGCCAGCCACAAAGAACCAGCTAGGTGCCCAGGCCCAGGCCAAGCAGCTCTTTGAGGGCAACGTCTAAGAGTCATTCTTGTTTGAACTTCCTAGGTGTGTGTCCGTGTCCAGCACGCAACTCCTCCTGGGTGGGATGCAGGCCACAGCATGTTGGCTTGCCAGGTACTCTCCGCATGGGAGAGCCTGGCTTACACAGAATTGTGGGAGGAGGCTTGGGATAAAACTGGACTTCGGTTGCACTTTTGGCATGTTGGCCAAAGGGCACTCAAACTGCCCGATCCTCCCCCTCTTCTTCTTCTTCTATTATTATTATTATTATTATTATTATTATTATTATTATTATTATTATTATTTATTTATTTCTTATCCCACCAATTATATATCTCTGCCCCTGACGAGCTAAGCAACGCTGAGAACGTCTTGTCCCGGTGCCTGGAGGCTGTGAGGGACTGGATGGGGAACAACTGAGCCCTGGCAAGGCGGAGTGGCTGTGGGTGCTAGGACGATGCCATCTTTGGTGCTGGAGGAGGTTGCACTGCTCCAGACAAACCCAGTGCACAGTCTGGGGGTCCTGCTGGACTCACGACTCCTCTCGAGGAGAGGTAGCAGTTGTGGCTAGGAGAACCTTTGCACAGCTTCATGCTGTGTGCCAGTTGCACCCATTCCTGGACTGGGAGGCCCTGCTCACAGTCACTCATGTCCTAGTCACCTCCAGGCTGGACTACTGTAAGGTGCTCTATATGGGGCTGCCCTTGAAGAGTATCCGGAAGGTTCAACTTGTGCAGAATGAAGTGGCGCAGGCCATTATGTGTGCTTCCAGAATAACACACATCACACCTCTACTCTGTGGGCTGCATTGGTTGCCAGTCTGCTTCCGGGTCCAATTTAAGGTGCTGTTTTTGACCTTTAAAGACCAACATGGCATGGGACCAGGTTATCTGAGTGATCGCCTCTCCCTGATTACATCTGCCCACCCCATCAGATCTGGCAGAGAGGGTTAGGGTTAGGGTTAGGGTTAGGGTCCCGTCTGCTAGGGACTTACACTTGGCGGGTCCTGGAGGTGGGCCTTCTCTTTGCGCCCGCCTTATGAAACATTCTCCCCCCCCCCCGAGTGAGGTTAGCTCCATCGTAGTTATTGTTCCGTAAGTTCCTCAAGACCTGGCTATGTCAGCAGGCCTGGGGGTCCCAGTGACATCTTAAGATGGCTCCGTTGTTAATATCTGCTGTCTCCTTTGCCTGGTGGTTTGTATTTTTAGTAATTGATTGTTTCATATTTTTAATGTTTGTTTTTAAGTATTTATTGTTTTATTTAATTGTTGTATGCTGCCCAGAGTCACTTCATGTGAGATGGGGGGCTATATACATTTGCTAAATAAATAAACAAATAAAGAAATAAAATAAAATAAACAACAAGGAAATACCTCTCTTCCCCTCACCCCACATTAAATTCATGAAAACCCGGGTTAATGAGGATAATGGTTACACTTTTGTTCTAATACTTAGGGTTTGAACCTGCGGGGAACTCTGTGTTCTCTCTGGATCAGGTCACACCTTGGTTTGGCTATAGGCCAAGGGATTTAGGATTTGGGTGGCTGTGGAATGAATAGTCCCAGCCGTTAAAGGGACTGGGCAGCTGAGGGGAGATCAGAGGACTGGGGGTATGTACAGAATGACATGAGGCAAGTGGGGCAGAACAGTTTCCTCCCCTTTTTCTTCTCCCAAGGCTCCAATTTCTTGGCCTTACTGCCCTTTTGCACACAGTTGCTTACCACAAAAGGGAACAGCATGCTGGACGTGGACGTGTGGCAGCTTTTCTTATATAGAACGCTAATGGTGGAAGGAGCCACTGGCCCCCATGCAGGACCCGCTCTTCGGTGTCATTTTGCCAGTTCCAGTCATATTCACGGTAGCGTCCTCCGCTGAGCACAGGGCGTGAGGTCTGACTCCGCCAGTGCCTCTCAGTTCTAACAGAGCCCATAATACACAAAGCGATTTGAGCCAATAGCAGTTACTGGTGCTTGGCATAGTTTTCCAGTGTCTGAAATTGTTTGACCCCATTTGACAGGTGAAAGCAAAGATACTCCAGATACGAATCCTGACTTACAACAATAAAACAAAAAGTATTCCTACTATTAAATTAAAAAATTATCCTCTCAATTTCATTCCCATTTCATTATGTTGTACTAAGAGGGAAGGTAATCGTTGTCCTCGTCCTTTTTGGAAGCTGTTAGAGCATTTATTTCTCTCTTGCAATTAAGAGGGTTCAAACTGTTTGAAACTGAGAGGAGCTCCAGGTGTCATCTGCTCCCGCTTCAGCTCAGCATTGGAAGCAGTGGAATTATGAAGACCTACAAAGGTTCATCTCTTGGAGGGTCTGTGAGTTTTTTGATCAGATTCTAATATGAAAAGTGCTGTTAAACAAACAAACAACAACTTATTTGGGACCTTTTGTGAGAGGAACAGTCAGCAATCAGGACTAGTATCATGACTAGGACAAAACATTAGGACAAAGCTAAATATTCGGGGCTCGAGTCCAGCAGCATTTGCCAACCTTGGCAACTTTCAGACCTGTGGGCTTCATCTCCCATAATTCCCAGCAATAGCCAACACAGTTTTAGCCTCATGACTATTCAGAAGGACTGCCCCCCAAATGTGTCTAAGAAAAAGTGCTATTGTCTTGGTTGATAGAAATTCTGCATAGAAGACAAGAACCCTCAGTGGGGATTGTGCATGAGAGTTTTTGTCCTGGCGCTAGCTCAAAGCTATAGTTATTTCAGTGGCCCGCAGAGTCTGTTCATCATGACCCTTATGCTTAATTGTTCTCTGGGAGCTTGTTCTGCCAAGCAAAGCCCTGCGTGTTCCCACCCTGCTTGATTTCCCTGGCCCTAGCTGGCTTGGAGGGGGGGTTCTACCATCATTTGCTTGATCACTGGTAAGGAAAGGAAAGGAAAGGAAAGGAAAGGAAAGGAAAGGAAAGGAAAGGAAAGGAAAGGAAAGGAAAGGAAAGGAAGAAAGGAAGAAAGGAAGA